AGCTTTAAAGGTCCCTTCCAGCCCAATACGTAATTATAAATAAATTATAATTATTCTAAATAAATTCAGACGTTGGAGAACATTCAGAGAATCGCTGTGATGACCTCATCTAAGACATCATGTAAGATTACCCAAAGGAAGCAAACCATAAGCAGGCTCCTTTCTTTAAAGGACTCTACCAGCAAGAACAGGAAACACCCGACCAGGACGCTGCAGGAGCTTAACTTAATTTACAGAAAGGAAACTGCAGTACTAAAGAACAGATGAATTTTATAGAGGAGACCTTGTCTTCTCTCTGATGAGGGCACTAATACTGTGCCCTCACTCTGAGGCCTGTATTTACCTTTAATGACTTCTTTGACAACGGATGAGCTTATCTGCAGCAAAGTCAGCGAGAACCAGCCAGCCAGAGCTCTTTTCAATTACAGTTATTAGCCATATTCAGCGAGATCCCATTTTCATCAGGAATAGTAACTGGCTCAGAAGGGAGAGCTTGCAGTTGGACTATTTTTGGTACTCTGCAAATAAACGCCAGATGGCAGGGAGCGAAGTTAGGGGGCAGGTTGAGATCCACCACGGGAACATCCTGGCAGCTCGGTGCAATGGCTTTATCCTTTACCTGAGCCCTTACCATGGCAATGTCGCATCTCAGCTGGCAAGAAACTCAGCCGACAACCGTTATCTGTCTTAATAGCCCTCCCGGGGCACCTACTTGAGAAGGAAAACCTACACAATTAAGACATTTCTCTGTTCATCTGCAGGCAGACACCACACGTGGCAGCACTGGGAGGAGCAGATCTAGTTCAGGTCCAAGCTGTGCCCTAGAAGGCCCCACGTACCTGTCACGGAGCGTGTTGGCACCCAGGTAGGGGTACTGGCTGTCCTTCAGCTTCCCTTTGATGAGCTGATCCAGCGTTTCCTGAAGCAGAGGCTGGTGCTGCGTATACACGTTCTCAACACCCTACAGTGCAAGAGAAGCTCTTGTTAGGAATTACTGCAGCAAGGCAGCAAGTAAGAGAGATCAGCAAAGCACATGAAAGGATGTGTATCCATCGTAAAAGATGATGTATCCATCACCTGATGGATACAGCAAGTGTTAACCACTGAAGTCCAGATTGAGAGGGGCTTTTCAGCAGCTGACTCTCACTGTCTTCAACGAGAATTAAGCCCGAAAAGCCCAGTGCATTTACTATTCAACCTCTGAAAGCCAAGACACACGGCACTGCACTGTGTGCGAGTCCTGTAACTGTACAGGACAGCCTGTGACTGTAATTTATCACTAAAATTGTCGTTATTTCATTTGCAGCAGATCCATACCTTCAGTCCTTTGAGGAACTGTTTGGTGATGGCTACAGCATCCTTGGGACTGAACAGGTCACTGCCCCTCACCCGTTTCCCTCCGTACTCTACAACGGCAGACACCAGCTGTATAGAGAGAGGCAAAACCACAATTTAGACTAGACTAGACTAGACTAGACTAGACTAGAACAGAACAGAACAGAACAGAACAGAATAGAATAGAATAGAATAGAATAGAATA